AGGCATAAGCCACCACACCCAGCTGGGCTAGTTATTTCTCAGTCTCACTCTCTTCATCTGTGAAATGTTCTCACAGGATTGTTCTAAGATTTCTAACCCCAAACCACCCAATATGTTGACACAGCGAGCTTCTGTCTGTAACCTTACATGCACTAAGCCCCCAGGCCTGCTGGGTTGGGCCAGAAACTGGCGCAGTGACGCTCACCCTGCCCACCACCCCTCGGCCTCGCACGGTCTCTAGGGTGCCAGAGAGACTGAATATCCTCCAGTGCCGCTCCCGGAGCTGTACCACGTCACTGTCAAGGTTCTCCAAGCGGATACAGTAGCGCCACTGTGGGTTGTTGAGGAGAGAGTTTGAGAAAATGTAGACCTTGGGCTACCCCACCCAGAATTCTGTGCAGAGCAAAAGGCAACAAAGGCTGACACCAAACTGCACAGGCTCCACCCCCACCTCCAATCTGGCCCCCAAGCACACCTCCTGAGCTCCCCTGCAGCCTGAGGGAGACACTCACCCAGTAGACATGGGAATTCTGGGCTTCCTGGGGGAAAAAACAAAGAATTTAAGTCCCAGAGGGCAAAACCAAGTCTGTTGGGATCAACATCTCTCCAATGCAATAGATGTATTCCAGGAAGTTGCAGACATACCAAGCTGTGAATATCTGTGGGATGAGGATGAAGACTGAACTATGGCCTACAATAGTTGAGTAGCCTGTTGGCAGCTTCCCCTGTGTCCATTCCTGGCCTCCCACCTCATCCTGCCAGATCACCAACAGAGCTGGCTGCCAATGGAAATCAGCTATAGAGTCCTTACCTTTCTCACCACCCTTCTTGCCAGCCCTGCCCCCAATCACGGCTGGCCTGGGCCCCTGTCCTCCTCCCTGTCCTCCCATTGCCCTCCCTTACTGCCTCACCCAGCTCCAGGAAGGCAGGGACAGTATTTTATTTACGTTTGTATCCCCAGGGCCTAGCTTACAGCCAGGCAATGTGTAAACATGTGTAACATAAAAAGTGTAAAGCCTACACTGATTTAAACAAGTATGTGTATGCTTCATAAACATGGCTCCCTTTGAGCCAGAGGGAAGAAGGAAGAGTCAGCATAGAAAACTCCTTCCTGGGGCCTGTGGCTTTCCCTGCTCCAGGTCTTAAGATCAGCCATTGCCAATAGGCTACTCAACCCCACCCAACACATGCATGGCTTGGAAGCAGTACCACAGGGACATAGTTTAAATTTAGACTCCCCCCAAGAGTCACACAGGGGACACCACACAGAATCTGGGCCTACCCCTGTGGGAAGGAGCCCAGGCTGGCCACATACCCTCATGCCCATATAGAAGGGGATGACGGTCACACGGATATTCTCAGTTGTTTCCCGGTGCACATCAGAGAGCTCCAGCCAGGGGTGATTCTTCTCTTGCCAGGCCCGTAGCGTCTCTCGAGCCACAAAAGGGGGTACTGGAGCAAGAGACAATTTGTTAGTCCAGGCCAGAGTCTAGGGTATTGCACCCACATTCCAGGTGCCCCTCCTAGAAAACCCTTCCCAGTGGTGGCCCAGGCAAATAGAATACCCACATATGAAGCCAAAGTACAGGCTGGAAGAAGGCATGGGACTGCTCCCAAGAACACGCCCTGAGGAGGTATTATGATATCATGGGAAAAGAACTGGCCTGGGAGGGAAGAGTCCTGGTTTTCACCCCTTATTCTGCTACTAACAATCCTGAGTTACTTCTCATCACCCCTAAGCCTCAGTTTCCATATCTGTAAGGAAGTAACAAACATCTATCTGACAGGTCTAACGGGAGATTGAAGGGGGTTATGGAAATAGAACTTTGGAATTATTTCAAGGATATTTTATTTGAAGAAAGGGCCCTCCCATTCCAGTTCCTCTCCTTTAAAGAGATTACCTTTTGTCTGGTCATACAGAAGAAATCTTTCAAAGAGCTCATGTTGGATGGGAACCTGATCAGTAGAGGTATAGGGGAGGATGTCTTCATGGCTGACATAGTCCAGACCTGGCATAAAGAGGCAAAGAGACAGTAAAGCTCACACA